GCTGCGCATTGCGCTGCTGCATGAGCAGGCACGCGGGGCCCTCCTGGCCGAGGAGATCGACTGCACCGAGGAGGAGATGCTGCTCTTTGCTGCCCTCCAGGTACCCCAAAACACCCCTGGACAATATGGCACCCCACTGAACCTGTGCCCCGATCCTCTGCAATCCTCCTCAAAACCCCTGTACCCTGAAACCCACCCCGGATTCCCTGGAAGCCCCTGGGACCCCCAAGAACCCTCCAGACTCACACAAACCTTCCTGGACATCCCTGAGCCCCAAACACCCCTGGACCCCTCAGTCCCCCCTTGGACCCCCCCTTAATTCTCCTGACCCCTCTGTGACCCCTCCAATTCTCCTGACCCCCCATGACCCTTCCACCCCCCAGTACCAGATAGATGGGGCAGAGGGGGGGTGATGGGGACCCCAAGGGCCCCCTTGAGCCCCAGGACCTGGACACAGCCCTGGACAAACTGGAGCTAAGCCTGGAGGGGCAAGGGACCACCATGCTGCCAGTGAGACTGGGGACACTGGGAGGCATGGGGAGGACACTGGGGGGCACTGGGAGGTACTGGGGGGGGTGTTTGGGGAGGACCAAGGGGCACTGGGAGGGACTGGGAGGGGTTTGGGGGGGACTTGGGAACACTGGGATGGACATGGAAGGCCCTGAGGAGCACTGGGTGCTACTGGGGGCCTCTTCTGGCCACACTGGGGGGACTGGGGGGCACTGCTGGGGGGGGAGGGGTAAGAACTGGTGGGGGCTGGGGTGGGGGGCACTGGGGGAGGCACTGGGAGTCAATGGGGATTACTGAGGTCTGGGGGAGTCCCCAGGAGGAGCTTGGAGCTGCCCCTGAGCTGGTGGAGGAGCTGGAGATCTACAGGTACCCCCACAACCCCCAAACCCCTCCCCTGACTCCAAAATTGGGGTTCCCCCAGGCCCTCCTCCTGGCCATTCTGGGGGTCCGTCTTGACCCCCCCCAACCCCCAAACTTGGGGTATCCCCAGGTCCTCCCGCTGGCCGTTCTGGGGGTCCCGACCTGCCCGGGCCGTGCTCTCGGGGTCATCACTGTCACTCTGGAGCCTCCCGAGATCGGGGGGGCCCCCACAGCAGCTCAACCTCCGTGGTGAGACCTCAAAACCCCTCCCGGGCCCCCAGACTCCCTCTGGCACTCACAAATCACCCTGGGACCTTCCCGCAAGAACCCCCCCCAGACCCCCAAATCCCCTGGGACCTCTCCATTCCTCCCACATGGGCCTCCTAAGACTCCCCTGGGACCACTGAGGCCACCCCCCCAGGACTCCCAGGTTCCCCCCCAGACCCTCCTGACACAAGGCCAACTCCCCTCCTTGGTTCCCCTAGGACCCTGAAATACCCCCTCAAGAACCGCCCCCATCTCCCTCTGGGACCCCACCAGGGCTCGCAAATTCTCCCCCAGACACCCCGGGACACCCCCAGCTCCCCTCCTCAGTTGCCCACATTCCCTTTGGAAAAACCCCCATCTCCCCCCAGGACCCCTCTGGGCCCCCCTTAGAGTCCCAAAGCCTTCCCAAACCCCTCTAGGATGCCCTGAACTCCCCTCCTGGGCTGCACGCAGGCCTGCCTGACCCCCCCCATCCCCCCAGGCTGTGAGGTGACCCCCGACATGGATTTGGGGGCGCAGAAATTTTGCATCAAACTGCGGGTGCCGACACCGGAGGGGATGAGCGAGACCCTCCTGCGCTGCCGTGATGTGGGTGGGAGGGCAGGATAAGGGTGGCGGGGGCACGGAGGGCTCTGGGAGACCACAGGGACTATGGGAGGGCCCCACTGGGAAACGGGAGGGACGGGACATGGGAGTTCGGGGAGTCCTGGAGTGTTTGAGGGCAGTTGGGGGGGGGTCTCATGGTGATTTGAGGGTCCTTGGGGCTCGGGGGGGGGAGGGTTAGAGGGGTCCCGGGGTTTTGGGGAGGGGGGGGTGTCTCAGAGGGGCTCTTGGGGGGGTATGAGGTCTCAGGGGTTTTTTTGCATTCTTAGGGGTTTTGATGGGTCCCAAGGGGGTTTGGGGGTCCTGGAAGGCTCAAGGGGTCCCGGGAGAGTTCTGGGGCATTTGAGGGGTTCTGGGGGAGTTCTGCAGGGGTCTTTGAGGAGTCTCAGGGAGCTGGTGTCACACTCTTGC